TTCACCTATATCTTTTAAACCCAATCGCCAGAATGTTATATTAAGATATAATTTAAAATATAATTTATTTATTCTCTTTTTTTTTATATTTTTTTTTTATATTTTAATGACTTCTGCCATATTTCATACGTTTTCCTTATAATTATAATTTATAATGTAATTTAAAGGTTCAATTAATAAAATGCATTGTTATAATTCGTTTTGCCTTTTAATGTGTGTCAGTCATGATGATTAATTAAATAAAAAATTTTGATGGCCTCTCTATCAATGATTAATAATTAATTGTTATTTGTATGCTCGTGTATTGTACACACTTAAAATTATCTACTTTATTTTTCTAAAAATATACGAGAAATATTTCACTAAAATTAAGAGTACATTTTCCGAAAAATATTTTCCGATCCTCACTTGGGAAATGCGTCATTGCAAGCCATTTACTTAACGGTACATTAAAGGCGTTTTAGGGCTTCAACAATTCATAGTCAACGTCATGTTGCAACACAATCAAGCGTTTGTGGTGATATTGTTGAAGTTAAAACAATATTGAAATCAAAATCCTAAAATCTTGTTCTTGTTCTTATATATATATATATTTTTTTTTGTTTTTGTACCAATATTTTATTTTCGTAGGTGTTTGAAATGATTTATTTGTCATAATATCATATCATATTATTATTACTAATAAGAAGAAAATAGAGTAGGTAATAATTATAAATAGAATTAAATAATTTAAAATAGAATAATTTGTCTTCTGATGAAGACATATAGAATAACACATGTGATACCATTTCAAAACAGAATAGATTCCTAAAGTTGAAACTGGTCGTGACCAGTTAAAAAAAAAAATTCTTAAAATTTAAAATAAATTTTAAGATAACTCTCGACTTAATTTAATACTAATCATATTTTTTTAATAATTAGCTCGCAAGCGCTGTATATCACATGTGTGCATATACTACTACTACCAACAATAAACATAAGTTAAGATAAATAACAATTTTACATATGTCTTAGTTTAAACAACTACTTTGATAAGAAATCTAATTTTACAATAAGTATTAGCAGAATAATAATTAATGTTAATAAATATAAATGATTTGGAATTACAAAATGTTTCGCAATGACCTTTAATGAAGTTTATAAAAGTATGTTCTACTATATAGGTTGTATACTTATCTATTGATTTTGAATACTAGTAATTTGAAAGGCAAAAATAGAATTTAGGACACGCCTATTTTTTATTAATAAAGATAGAAAATATAGTTGTGAACAAAAGGTTAAACTCAATAAAAAATTGAAACATTGTGTAATAGAATACAAAAAGTACTTTAGGCATTTTATTTATTATTTAGCTTAATTATATTGCTATCGAAAACATGTATAAATTAAAAGTTGAAAGTAAATATCTTTAATAATAAATATATTATCTATGTAAAATATTTTAGATTTTTATTTTCCATCGAATATTGACCACTTGAAAAATCAATATTTTTTTAAAGTATGCAAGTAAATAAAATTAAATTTAAACTAATGTAAAGAAACTACTTGATAAAAATTGATAAAACCTTTAAAACTAAAATATTTTATGGATAAAAATTATTTAAGGCAAAATTGTTAAATATAAAGATGTAAGCGCTAAAATAAATAAAGGCTAATTATCAGAAATATTTCTATCAAGCACTTATTAAATTTCAAGATTAACTTAATTGTAAAATTTAAAACTATTAAGTTTTAAAATTTCCGCTTAGGCTAATATAATTGTCGATTCATCCATTTAAAAGTGCAGTTCTCTAAGAGTAATGACTTGGCAAATTCTTTCTAGACCATTGCCAGCAAACCCAAAACTTATCACATAAAATCCATAACACGCACACAAAACTTTAAGTAGTGTTAAATAAGGGTATGATATAGATAAAATATGTTGAATCTTACCTGACACTCGATATTCATTGTCTATGTTCAAAATATGTTTATTACAGAAAATATATTAAAATTATGTTATGCATCAGTTTGTTATTCACTCAATAATATTATTAATATCGATTCGTCACGTTTTTTTATTTGAAAAAAGTAAGACATTTACAATATTATAAATATTCACGGTTAGAAAATTAGAAGATTTTACAATTGTATAATGTACTAAAAATAAAAGTTACCTACATTAATTATGTAGTGTGTACATTACACACATCACCAAAATTAGTAAATTATTATATACATATTCTTTGGTAGTATTATTAACATTAAAGTGCAAAATAAATCTAAAATTTATTTTTACATGCGCACATATGTTTTTTGTTGTGGAGTAACTTTGATACTCAGTGTTGGGAAAATTCCTTTTTAAATCCCTTTTAATTTCCTTTCCTCGTTCTGTTCACTTCCTAAAGAGAACCTTGTTTCAGATCCTAATTATGTTTTTAAAAAGAACTTGTTCCTCTTCTTTGATGAAAAAAAATTAAACCAGCTATTATTGTTATATTAATAACAATAATATAAAATATTGATTGATTCATTTTTCTTGTTATCTATTAAGTACGATTAAAAAAGTTTAACTTCTATAAGATTCAAATTATCGAACGCCCTGCAACATTTTCAAAAAATGAGTTAAAAAGTGATAAATATGCAAGGATGTTCTCTTTCAAACCCTTTTAATCATAGGTTATTAATTGGATTTTCTAAAAATATATATATTAAAAAAAAGATTTTGTCTTGTAGTATAACTAAAAATTTAATTCTGAAATGTTCATTTTAAGTACAGATATATTTTGTAATGTTGAAATATTTCATAAAACTGTGAAATATTGTTATTTTATAGTTGATTCAAATTCTATTACTACAAAAGTTATAATTAAAAGAAGTTGGATCATGTTAATACCCTTAAGCTTTCATTGTATTTTTTAAAGAAAGTATTTACTATAATAACTTAATAAAAATAATACTTGATATACTGGAATAATTTGTAAAAAACCTATTGAAGAATAATTGTCAAATTAAAAATTATTAATTACTTTAAAAAATTAAAATTTGTCATCCTACTCAGGCGTGGAATAATGTGTGTGGCAGATGATTTTTTTAATGGGTTAAGTCGACATTTATTCACGCTAAAAATTTTTGTAAATCAAAAGAAAAAAAAGCACATTATGATAAAATCAATACCTTTTCAGCTTCATATCTAAGCGAGAAATAATTAAAAATTTTAAAATTATTAAGATTTTTAAAATTTGGTTTTTATGATCATTTATAAAAACCTATACTAATATTATTTTTCTATTGTTATTGCTTATTAATTGTTTGATATTTAGGCTGTATAGGAATAATTATAAAATATATTTTAATTAAAAAAATATTTTATTAATTTTTAATTCATTCAATAAAAAACCAGCAAAGTTGGAACTATCGCAATTAAACATCTTGAAAATACTACATTTAGTTAGAAGTATATAATTTTCTGTTAATGTTAAGATCATTTCCAAGCCATACCTATCACATAATGACACATTTGATTTGTATTTCGGAAATTTGATATTTTAAATTACATCTTTCAACTATAGAAATTATATCTCTTGATCCAAATCATTGATTATATATTGTACCTAAATGTAAAGGATGAATGTTTTTTACCGTCGACCAACTTTTAAAAATAAACAGGTAATGTTTCAAGAAATAATTTTTTTTGGTAAATTACGTATTTTGATTATTTAAAATAGCCGGATGGAAAAGGAGGATATTTTTTACTTATCAATATTGTTATTTCGGTAAAAATTACAATATTTCAATAAATATTAAAATTTTTTGTTGCATTTAAATATTAAAAGCATAATTTAAAACACAATTATAGAGGTATCATAAAATTTTCTTGTCGTCAGCTGATCTCCAAGTTTCTATAATCTAAAAATCCCAATTTATTGACAGAGTGACATGTCCTCAACTTGGTGAGTTTACGATAATGAGATTTCTTTTTAAATCACAAATTATGTCTATCTTGTTAGTAGGAACTTTGCTTTTGACCTAACATTGTTAAGTACTATAGTATGGAGTATTAAATATAATTCAATAATTTATATTATGTCATCATAATAATTTTCCCAAACTTATATTTTTTGTACAATTATGAAGTAATAGATGATATTTAAATCTTTAATTAAGACATTTAAGAAAATTTATTTATACTATTATTTTATTTAATTTATCATTAAGCAATTATAAATCATAAAATAAAAACCTAGCACAGTGTCATAGTGGGAACACAGCAATGTTGAGTAAAAGTTTTTTCTGTATTCTAATGATTTTTAAGAATAAATTGAACAATAGTAGATTTCAGGAAGAATAAATAATCAAAAATTATATTATTTATTATTAATTACTAAATTTAAATATCTACAATTATTACTTGTATTTGATGCAATCAATTATTTTCAATAACTCAAGTGAGCGAAAACAAAAAAAAACTTTTGAAATATTATTACTAACATAATTTAGGGTATATAACGTGATTGATATAGGGAAAGACAATAATTTCTTCAGAAACTATTGAAAATTTTTAATGTTTTTAAAGAGAAAAATTATTTGGTTAAAAAATTTACAATTATATATGATTAAATAATTTGTTTTTCTTCTCTTTAAAATAAAAAATTTTAACTTAATTTTCGTAAGAGAAAATATCTTATGGTACATCGGATAAAAAAATTGTAAATTTAAAATTGTTTGTAATTTTTTTTTAACATAAATTATAAATGTTCAATAGTCTCTGAAAAAATAAGAGTTTTACGTGAATTTCAATTGGTTTAATACTAACTTTTCCAATTCGCTTAATGTTTTCTCTTAATAATTAAATGTATAAAGTCTCATAAATTTAATACTAAAAATATAGTTAAATAAATAAAGCATGTATATTTAAAATAAACCATGATAGATTTTTTGATTTGGATAAATATAAATTGGTAAATGCACTTAAACTAATATTTTAATAAAAAATTTAGTGAAAAACAGAAGTTCTAATAATATATAACATTGTAGAATTAAATAAGTGTTTTAGTTTCAATAACGTTGCCAATTGAGTTTTATTATTTTAAAAATGTGCAAGAAATCATTAACTTTTTTGTTATATGTACTTGGACTCATTAGCCAAGTTTCATTAATGTCTTATGACAAAAAAAGTGCAGATTTCAAAATGTATACCATAAATGTTTTAAATCATATTCGAGTTAAAACGGGGTGGTATTCAATGTCAAAATTACAATTTACTCAAGGTACTTTTAAATTTGATGTAAATAATGTTATAAATGAAGTTATTGATGAGAGAAACTATATTGCTAAACTTAATTATATAATACATTTAATAAACTGCGAATACTCTAATATATTGCAAACATTTGATGTCATGTTAAGTTTTATTATAAATAAGTGTCAATCGGAAAAAGACAAAAACCACCAAATCCAATTCCAATACTGCACAATGCGATTAGTTGATGTTATAAAAAATTCTTCAATCATGTTTATGAAACTTTTGGGCGCTACTACATTCCTAAGTCAATTAGATTTGCGAATTATTGACGAATTTTTAATAAATCCAAGAGTGATCGACAATGAAATTGAATTATTTTACATGTATACAGATGATAAAATGAATCGACCGGAATTTGTTAACGAAAATGACATTATTGATGTTTTTGAAGATATAAAAAAATTTCATAAAAATATAGTCGAGCCAACAATACAAAAACTTTTCGAATTTAACAAGGTGTGTGGTTCTAGATATAGAAATGTTATTCCAATGGTTTTGATGTCAGAGTATGACGAGAAAAATATAAATGAAATCATAAATGATCCAGACGATTATATAAATTTAATTTGTAATGATCTCAATAATTTTTATAGTCGAATAGTTGACAATTATTACAGGGACCTTGGTTTTGGAGATTTAGTAGGAACTAATAATTTCAGGTAAGACAATCAATATATTATCATAATTTAAATTATCCTTTACTTTATCTTTAAAAAGTACTTAAATATACCCCAAATTAAAATTATCAATCAGATAAAAACATTTTTTAAATTATTTGTTCACCAATACACAATTATGTATATACTCTATAGTCTATGTATAAAACATATATATATATAAAAAAATATATATATATATATAATTAGGGTGTCCCTTATTTTGAAAATTTTGGAAAATCTTCGGGCTCACCCCCCAAATTTATGTGTATACATATAAAAAGTGGCTACAAAAAATTCCAGGCCGATCAGATAAGTTTAACCCGTGCCGACTTGGGGTTGAAAATCGGCCAAAAGGGGTACTTTTTTAGTTTTTAGCAATTAACTCGTAAATTAGCACACTCACAAAAAAAAATATAAAAATTAAATTGTAGATCTAATTGTTTTGTATAAATTAAGT